CAACCCTTTTTGGGTTTATTATTCTACGAATTTTTTTTACAGTGTAGTCCTATTCTACTTTCACAATCCTCATTCTACTAATCATTCGTACTATTTGAATCATATCAACGCTGATATTCAATAAAAATTTGTGTATATGTCATAACTGTAGACAGGTAGAATTGAAAGTTATTTTTGTCATTCTCAGGACTTTATGCTAAACTCATATTCTCAGTCGCAATCCAATTTTTTGTCTTTGTTGAATTCTATTCGATCTTGATAAGTTTCAGTTTTCCCATGACTTCTTGTTGTCAAACAAGAATGAAACCGATAATGTCTAATCATATTCACTTTCACCTTCGAAGAATTTCCTGGTGACGGGTTTTCATAGTATACTAAGTACTGTCAGATATCTGAATACATAAATTTTTTTGTGTACTTTTCCAACAACACTATCGTATTTCATATTTTAATAATTGCATCTTTCATACTTAAGCAACACATTTGCATATTTGAAGAATAATTGCACTTTATGTGATAATATACATCAAGTTAATAATAAAAAAAAAAGATAATGTATGCGGTACAAAAATTAACAAGTCTGTAACAGAATATTTAAGTTGTCAGTGCCTTCATTCGCCACTGCCAAATCCAGCTTATTGTCACTATTAAAATCGCCAACGAGAACAAAGAATGGATGGGACCCATAGTCCAACGACAATGGAATAAGACTTGTAAATGTGCCATTGCCATATCCAAGAAACACACCCAACATATTGGTTGCATAATTAGCAACGATAAAGTCTAGTATGAAATCGTTGTTAAAATCACCGATAGCTACAAAGTATGGCTCAGAACTAAAGCCCGCTGAATATATCATTTGACTTGTAAAGGATCCATTGCCATATCCGAGGAAAATACCCACATTGTCAGAACCGTAATTGGCGACGACGATATCCAGTTGAGTATCGTTATTGAAGTCACCAGCAGCTATAGAATATGGCGATGAATATGGACCAGTTGAATACAATACTTGATTTGCAAAAGAGATATTACCGTATCCGAGATAAATACCAATAGTATGAGTTCCCGAATAAGCAATGGCAATATCCATTCGAACATCATTGTTAAAGTCACCAATGGCAAATGATCGTGGTTGAGAACCATCACCAGTTGTAAGTGTTGTTGCCTTTACAAAAACTTTCTTAGAATACCCAATAAGGAAACTAATATTGTCGCTAACATAATTGGTAATAACGATATCTAGTCGGGTGTCATTGTTGAAATCACCAACAGCTATAGAGTATGGATTAAAGCCAGCTGAATATGTTATTTGATTTGCAAAAGAGCCGTTACCATATCCAAGAAGGACACTGACATTATCACTTCCAGAACTGGCAACAATGATATCCAGTCGGGTATCGTTGTTGAAATCACCAACAGCTAGAGATTGTGGCCCAATGCCAGTTGAATACATCATTTGATTTGCAAAAGAGCCATTACCATATCCAAGAAGGACACTGACATGATTCTCATCCCAATTGGCAATAACGATATCCAGTCGGGTGTCGTTATTGAAATCACCAACAGCTATAGAGTATGGATTAGAGCCACTTGCGTATCTCATTTGACTTGCGAAAGAGCCATTACCATATCCAAGAAGAATACTGATATCATAACTTCTCGAATTGGCAACAACAATATCTAGTTGAGTGTCATTGTTGAAATCACCAACAGCTATAGAGTATGGATTAGAGCCAGTTGAATATCTCATTTGATTTGCAAAAGAACCATTACCATATCCAAGAAGGACACTGACATCATCACTCCATACATTGACGACAGCGATATCCAACCAGGCATCGTTGTTGAAATCACCAACCACTACAGATTGTGGCCCAATACCAGTTGAATATATCATTTGATTTTTAAAAGAGCCATTACCATATCCAAGAAGGATACTGACATGATTCTCATTCCAATTGGCAATAACAATGTCCAGTCGGGTGTCGCTGTTGAAATCACCAACAGCTACAGAGTATGGATTAGAGCCAGTTGAATATCTCATTTGATTTGAGAAAGAGCCATTACCATATCCAAGAAGGATACTAACACTATTGCTACCCCAATTAGCAACAACAATGTCTGGTCGGGCGTCGTTGTTGAAATCACCCACAGCTACAGAGCATGGACCATCGCCAGTTGAATATGTTACTTGATTTGCAAACGATCCAATGTCATACGAAACAAAAATGTCCACATTATCACTGTCATCATATGCGACAATAATTTCCGATTGTCCGTCATTATTGAAATCACCGGAAGCGACAACAGATGGAGTGAAACTAATATCAATTTCGTCACTCGTTTGGATTTCGAATGTCCCGTCCCCGTTTCCAAATAGCACATCTACATTCTTAGTGCCATAATTAGCCTCGACAATATCTAGTAGATTGTCACCATTGAAATCACCAATGGCGACACACGAGGGTTGAGAATTTGGGTTAGTACTGAGCATCGTTTGGCTTCCAAAAGTACCATTTTCATTTCCAAGAAGAACACCTACGTTACTAGTGCCGTAATTAGCAACAATGATATCCAGTCGAGAATCATTATTCACATCTCGAACGACAATATATCGAAGGCGCGAACCTCCGCCAGATGCGTAGGTCATTGTGTTTACAAGTGTTCCTACACTATATTGCAGTAATACACTGACATTATTGCTACCATAATTGGCAACAATAATATCCAGTCGGGTGTCGTTGTTGAAATCACCAACAGCCACAGACCATGGATAAGAGCCAGTTGAATATATCATTGGATTTTCAAAAGAGCCATTACCATATCCAAGAAGGATACTGATATCATTGCTACCCCATTCGGCGATAACGATATCCAGTTGGAAGTCTTTATTGAAATCACCAACAGCTACAGATTGTGGATTAGGACCAGTTGAATATCTCATTTGACTTGCGAAAGAGCCATTACCATATCCAAGAAGGACACTGACATCATTACTCCACACATTAATGACAACGATATCCAACCAGGCGTCGTTGTTGAAATCACCAACAGCTACAGACACTGGATAAGCGCCAGTTGCGTATATCGTTTGATTTTGAAAAGAGCCATCACCATAACCAATAAGGACACTGACACCATAGCCACGGTAATTGGTGACAACGATATCCAGTCGGGTGTCGTTGTTGAAATCACCAACAGCTACAAATTGTGGATGAGAGCCAGTTGAATATCTCATTTGACTTGCGAAAGAGCCATTACCATATCC